AGCTTAATTTATTTACTTTGCTTCTTTCTTTTGGGGCGTTTTTCTTAGGGGTATGCGCTGGTGGAGTGATCCATTGGTATTCGAACGATCAGGAGTTTCGATCTCAGATGTTTGTCTCGTCCACTCCTGGCAAAACGCCAATACAAAAACAAAACCACGACCATAAAGCGTTTGTCACCACCATAAAGGTTCTAAAGATCTTCTAGATACTACCTAACAGCATCTTTAAAATCATCCGAGAACACTATCTATTTACTCCTCCTTCCGTCTGCGTGATCAATCTAGGCCGATATCCAATTGGACTGAACGGCTCGATCTAGGACTGAAAACATCTAGCAATCACTTTAAGGTTACTAAACGGACAACCAACTCTCTGACATTGCCGAGCTACTTGAGGTTAGGGCTGATATGAGTGTGGGGTGTACGTGGGGGTTTAAACAGAGCCTACAAGTTCATAAAATCAGCTGAGCTAGGGTGAAACGTTTTCTTTCTCCGGTACGCCCCCCACTCTGAAACGCTATCGTGAGCTCGAACTACGAATTGACAGATTTCAACTTTCAATTAATCCGATCCAGAAGGCTTGTTTGAGCGGAGCTTAGGTAATTTACTCCGAACTCCGATCTGATAGAATGATCTGTGCGTATCAGGGGGATTTCTAACCTGTCTAGGGGTTCACCAGTTTACCTTACTAATCAGCGGCTTTGTCTATTCTGCAGGAGTTGCGCATCATCAACTGACCATATCCGGGTGATATTCGATTCCAAAGACAAATTCAACGAGGATCTACGAATTCGACTATATATGTCTTGGCACCCTGCACTGATGTGCCTAACGTCTACTCAGTTTGTAAAGACTAACCAATTAATGCATCAAAGGGAAATTTACGGATGGTAGAAGTCGGAGGTTTTACAGAGCTATTCCAACGCTAGAAATGCCTTTTGATAACGAGGGCTTCATTTCCAGCCTCTCGGTCTCATATTCACTCCTTGAAAGACTCAAATAGGGGGTTCTGGCTATTCATCAACCAACTACCAATACATAGGAATTCAATGAAGCATTGGGCCTAACGGCAGTTGTATAAAACTGATGCTATTTATAACTAAGTCAAAGCTCACTACTAGAAGCTTGAGAAGCATAGTAAGCTGCTACTCTACTAACTATCAGACTTCCAACCCTGAGGTTCGACAATCCAATGATGTAGTTGCCGGAGGAGATGTTGCCGTTCTCGGCATGCGTGATCGGAGGAGTTCTATATGTAGACGCGAATTCGGCTATGACTTCCGCATACACCCCGATAACGGACACTTATCTTTTGACATATGTTTCACTGATTGAGATGCGCAAGCTTAGACTTTTGCGAGTGGTGCCAACGAGAGAATCCGTGTATCGAAATTTGGCAATCATGCGATTGTAGTGTCCGAAATGGGATATATTTAATCTCGTTAAGGAGTAGCCTGCATAGTCTGGCGGTAAACCAATGGCCTTTATTCTCGAAAGAAGATCAGAGAAGGACTTTCCATTAGTGGATGCGATGAATTGTAACTAATATGACCAGTAATTAATCATGATTTGTCTCTTTGGCAAAAGGAAATACTATATACCATCTGCACGATTCATTATCTAGAATGATAATCTCCCAAAATAGTAGGGTTGATTCGCGTAACTATATTTTTTTTTTTTTGTTTAATTCATTAAATTCGCGTAACTATAAACGATTATTCAACTAAAACAACTAACAGTATGATGCTAAGTATTCCGGTCCAAAATACTTTTGGCTGATGCAGAAGCAGATCAGCAGAACAGTAAAGATCATATTCAACAAACAAGGCGCAGTAGTTTGGGATGAGCCGGGTACCCAAATTGAATACCACAGGAACAGGTTTTTATATCAGCCTTGTACGTGTGGTTGGTGCAAGGCATCATCCTGTGTTACTACATACTGCGCATACGCCAAGGTCATCCCTTCATAGATGGGACGCTCGGACCCTATACAGCCCACAAGATTCGTTCGATATATCAACACTTTCAACACTTTCTCCTATCGATCATGTATGTCAACAAGTAAATACTGCGCAGCATCAACAATAGTTGGAAAAGCACCTAGCATGTGTCCTTAAATGCATGCCGAGTCAGTGTTTATGATCAGCGGCATTAACTAAATCTGACTGAGATTTTATGAGCACATATAAACTATCCAGGCTTGGTATACCCCCTGCGCTGGATTCCTGTCGGCTTTCGGCTTCCTGCGGATCTCAAAATTTTCGTCGGCGTTTTTCGTAGAAAGAAAAGTCTCGTAGGGATCTAGAACTTAAGAACGTACCGCTCTAAGTCAGTTTTCAATTGGCCTAGGAACTCACTGATGGAAGTAATCTTCATGATCAAGCTCATTGGATTATGATTTATATCTACGTTGCGGTTCTTGAATTCAACCGCAAGCCCAGGATGATGGTCTTGAGGTCCATGATTATCAAGAGCAATGTTGTGCTACCAATCTATGAGTAATCATAAGAATCATTGATCTCTTTGGCTGAACCAATCTTCTATCCGGAACATATCAAACTTCTCAGTGATGTTTGCTATTCGTTGAACAGAGATGCATAATCAAAACATCGGCAACGAGACGATAATCAGAACAAAGATCCAGATAACATTCTCATCGATAACAAATCTTTGCTGTTATTTTTATCAGGATGACGTTAGTTCTGTTGGCCCAAGCATAATTATAACATTTGTCTGAATGAATGAATAGAACGAATAGAACGATATCAGTACGAATTCCTCTCGACTGATAGCCCGTGAACACAGATGACTCAATGCCTTTCTAGAAACACCTTGACTCACAAAGGTGGGAGGAATGTTGCAGTTGAAACATGTGGTTGTTTTCTCATCTATTTCACAATGTTGGATCTGGCGCTGGACTGATCTTTATTGCCCTTTTGCTGGCCAGCATAAACCCCTAATCCTGACTTAATTGATCAAGCTCAGCATACGAAGCCAGCACCTAGTTGTCGCTAATCAATCGAGCTCCAAATAAAACAGACGAAGGAAAGGAAAAGTTACATAGAGTAAATTAGAAAGATGGGAAGCGCGGATGGGCTTATGCTTAATTAAAGGTCCTGTGAGCTTGCCAAGACGCCAAGCGGTATTTAAAACAGGGACCTCAATGTAACTCTACCCTGATTAGTAGCCTTTACTTCACTTAGATCACTTTTGATTTATCTGTGGTAAAATCTGTGACTGTGCCACGATATTGGGGCCCGGCTGCTGGGCGACTGTGGCATATTCCTTCATAATACATCACTCGACTTGAGAATCTGTACATGATAACCTTACTTTTTCACAATACGTCGTATATTAAGAGTTCAAGGAGAACAGCACATCCTAAGATATTCAAGAGACCTCAAGGCGGTTCCTTAGAAGTACTTGTACCCCAGGCAGGGGCATTAAATGTGGAAAATTACCGCTACCGGGCTAGCCACCTGATGGCATATGAGTCAGACCCAGCGACCCGACTAGCATACATGTATGTTGCTAAGTAGGAGATGGGTACGAAACTACATGTACATGTAGTATAGACTACGTGGATAGAAATGGTTCAGTTGATCCGTCCTCCTGGTCGGGCCATTTTCGAAATGTTCCCTCTTCCCTTCCAATACTCTTTTGCATACAATCAATGAAGTAATCAATCAATCAATTCCCATACTCTTCATCAAGACCCATGAGAATAGAACTTATCAACCAAATCGCTTTTTCGAAATTCATCAACAGGATGTACGGTTGTTGCTCCATGGATCGTCAAATCACTCATTTCCCATCAACCAGCGCTCCTTCATATTATTTCTCCCCTGATGTGTTCGGCTTAAAGTTGTGAAAACCAATAATCTGCTATATTATTGCTGAATAAGTGAAATAGAATGAGACTTGGCAAGCTATATCATCATTTCACGAATCACAACTGTTCGGCGGTGGAAACGAGGCGGATACCAATTGACCAGACAGTCCACCATATGAAAGACTTCTTAACCATGTCATACTTTCTTGGGGAAGTTGTCGCAAGGGCGCTAATCTAGGTAAGGCAGATGTTCTACCCCGTGCAACACTTTTTTGGTCATGTTCTAAAGGTTGAAGGTTCCCTATTTACGATACCTCACAAGAGGTCTTTACGCATCAGAAATATCTCGAAGCCTACCTATCGATAGGAAACTAATCTATTCACCAAGGCGGCTCCACAAGGACTCACACCTGTTTTGATATGGGGTGCCGGTACGATCTGATATGAAGCGCCATTCATAACCGAAGGAGAGAGAAATAAAGTGTCTATAGCTCAAAGGCCTGGAGGCTGCCGCTCCGCCTATATGTGCACTTAAGTTACGAGAGTGTTTAAAACCGTCAATTTCATTCTTAGTGATATCAGCTACTAGCACAACTATAGATTTTAACCTCAGGACCAAGGGAATATTGCAGTTCGTCAAGGACTTGGTAGAAAGATTCAAGTAGTACATTTTCTTTGCGATTGGTAAAACCTGCGCCCCGTTTGCTAACCTAGTGAGTAGGAAGCTTAGCACTATTCACTATATATATTAAAGTTTGAGATCAAAATCTCTAGTTTTGTGAGTTTGTCCGAGTGATCTAACATGATCGACACAGGGTTAGGGCTCAACTTCCAAATTGCAGACCTAGACCGCACCACGTGCACCTCGTCTCCTATACCTGTTGTTTTTGACAATATTTGCTTCGTTGTTTCTTTACTTCGTTGATTCTGTCCATACTGAACGTGTTCTTGTCACGTCAGCTATGCGTGTTCTTTTGTGACTGTCTTTTTCATCACTATACAACGTGTTAAACAATTACATTTGTTTACACTATAAATAGAGGATTTAATCCTCTTCATGTTCGATAGATCAATACAATCAATCATCGTCTTACTTCCTTCTTATTTCTCTAGCCAATTCAACAATACCCACTTACTGGGTGACGGCAAATTTAATCCAACAGCGAATATGGACCTGCATTCAATGGTAGAGCCTACTTCGGCAAGTTGACGATATGCTTAATTGTACTGCAAGTAATCTGTGTCTATCAACAGGTAGAATCTGTTATTGGACACAGATATCCCAATTACCGACTCACCATAACGTGCCATCTTCTATGTAATGGTAATGAACATATAAGCCATTTCTATGAGGCCCGAACTTCGACCTCTACGATCCAAAGGTTTCTCATTGAGATATATAGAAATTAATAGTTTCTGGCACCAAGTTTATGTCCCAGCTAGCCCACCATCTGTATAGTATACCCCGCAATTTGTACACCTTAAGCTTGAGTTCTGCACGTGCGTAACTATCACTTGGTATTCGAGCCTGGCTGACTGTGTTTCTAGTATTTTGAATTTCTTTTTTTCACGGCCCTGCAAGGCTATATCATTCCCTAGCTAGAGTAGTTCTTGGCTGGTGAAATATTCGGAGGCTCGGTGTGGATATCCCCCTACCCCTCTCTAGCTATCAATCGGTACTTACCGTTTATAATTTTAAATTAGGCAGTAACTGGTATTCATATTATATATCCCCCCTACCCCCTCTCTGACTATTAATCGGTACTTACCGTTTGTAATTATAAACTGGGCGATAACCGGTATTCACATTATGTTAAAGATTTAGTTGTGTTGACGAATCACCATCTCTTTCAGTTAATGAAGAAATCAGGCAACGATTGGTGGCTCACAAATCGGCTGAATCGTCGGTATTTATTGGTGGTCAGCAAATAACTATCAAATTCTAATAGTTAATGTTAATTTAGGTAACTATTTTTCCCTAGTCTAGAATTAACTATTCACTCAACCGGACCATATCTTACCGCAAGGGCCGAAGGCTTGCAGAAACGTTTACTTGACACAATGAACTACCGGATACCGGCGTCGGCCTTTTCAAAATCAATGCCAACAACATTGGTTTCTTCCAGGGTTTATGTGCTTGTGGTGAGCTTTAGATTTGGAAGGAATTTTTGCTTCCCGACTCTATAATCTGGCACGGCATAATCATACAATCTCAACTGGAAAAACTCTGACTGAGAATATAGATATAGGCTCATAAATTGAAAATCTATAGCCTTTAAACCGCATAGATTAATGAATAATTCAAAGCGAAATCGAAAGGGTCAGATGGGAATAAGAAATCATAGCCCATTATTAATCGGAGGTGTCTCGTGGTTTCGCCGAGCTGTCAATTTCATTTCCAAGGTTAGGGTTATATCGAACAAGGGCTCGGGCAGATGTGTTGATGATATTTACCACGTACATAGCCAAGGACTCTTACCAGTGGAGATGCGTAAGAAGCTTCTGTGCAATGCTACTCAAGAAACTGGGTGACGTCACCTGACCAAGGAGGTGTTATACTTGCTAAATGAGTGATTGTACTCCTACAGTTGTTGTCAATCGACATTCGTGTCGATGTTTATGCAAGCCTTATCTGCAGGACCAGCAGAGCTTTCATCTAGGAGGATTGGTTGGAACGGAAAGAGGCATTCGGACATATGTCTCGATTAGGATGAACCGAGAAAGAACCGTTTAGTTGATTTTTATTTCAATTTAAAGGGTAAGGGTAACCTTGCGGCTTTATGAGCGAGTTATCTGGCAGGATGGAGAGAGATGTCTTTATGATTGCTATACAAAGAATGCTACTATCTGGACGGGTACTAGGCATAGATGGCGGTGTGATACGGACCCTTAGTACCGTGGTTAACAGCTGTTAGGTATTTACGTGTACGTCCCCCACAAAAAAAAAAAAAAACGTCCCCCGTCACAATTGACCCAACCTTTACTTTCAAAAGAACTTGGCACCTCTCGGCACCAGTGAGTGGTGCACGAACGGTTTTTGACGATCTGAGACACGGAGAGTGAGATTGATTCTCTTCAACTAAAGTCCCGACCCATAGAATACCGATACCGTCTGTGCGCTTGGTATTTATGTACATACCTATTGCGTGAGATATCGTGTTTCAACTCTATTCTAACGTCTAGTCTAGTCGACATGCCATGATTGCGCCCATTAACTAGCATGTTGCGCTATAACTTGATGTGTAGATAAGGGACGAGTGAGAATCTATGCGATGTTTGCAATTGACTACAGCCCCAGCTTTGGTTAACCTCCCTGTATTTACCCCTGGCTGTCGTATGTTTACGGGGACGCCGATAGTATCACAAATATTGATTCGATTCCCCATGCCTGTCAGAGGCGTTGGGTTCAGCCTCACCCATACACACAGCGCGTAAAAAAACCGTTAAGCGCGTACTATGATTTCACCGTTGGACTTATTAGCAGACGGATCTGACCTACATCTATGCATGGCTTTTCCCAGCCCAGCGATAACAAGCAAGAATTGTGAAATGCTATTATTAATCCCTACTATTAACAACCTACAGCCACTCAGATGCCTGTATGATGTTGTTGACATAATCAGTACTGTCTGTACTGTGTTCATGCCACGTGTGTGCATGAATCACAAAAGCCACCACAGGAAAAAAATCGAGTTCTGCTGCATATCGGAAGGCAGGCTGCGGAATTTGGAATTTATTTGAGCCAACAGCAAACCACACTGGGCACAAACGATAAGAAACTTTCTTTCGCCCCCCGAGCTGAAGAAATTAAATATCAGTACCAAGTAGCTGGTTAGGTATGGATCGGTGATATTATAACGGTATAACTCGAATATGGACGGAACTATATGTATGTATTGGTTCGCTTTTTACTCTATATAACGGCGTATTATGATCACTACCAGATATTAGGATCACTCCCGAACGTCTTCCCGAATATCTAAAAAAGAAAAAAGAAAGAAAAAAGGGAAAAAAGCCTTTATGAAAGATAAATTTGTGCACAAACGCCAAGCTACTCATAAAAAAGATAAAGAACGTTTTCATGACTTGCAAGAACAGCAAGCCCAGGCTACCTGCTCGCAACACAGGGGACGGGGCTTCTAAATTAATAACGGAGGCCGTGACCCACTGCAGCGGTTACTTACTTGCTCCATGTGGTTTCTCTGAGTGGACGACGGGTCCGGAACTCTTTTTTGAATCGAATTAAGCAAACCTAGTTGTCTGTCGGAGGAGTTGATCGATATTTCTACTATACATATCACCGCATCCACTGCATGACCGCGAGGCATTACAGGTAGAAGGGAAAGAAAACCTGGTTAGAGATAGTTGGTTGAATTGAGAGCGGTTATATATATCGTGATAAGTATAATTCTTAATTCACATCCACAATCGGTTACTAACGTGGAAATCTGGGCTCGAATCCTTTTATGCACGCCCTTCGATCCTTCATTCCTCCTCGACAAATTTAGTAGTTCAGCCCCGCCCTCCATGATCCATCCCTGACTTGACTTTGTACCCCGTTGCTAATGAGGCTCGAAACTTCTGGGAATTCCAATAACCCAAATAATCGAAACCATGAACCGGTTAGCCGGACTGATCAGCTGTGCCGCTACGCTATGCTATGTATCTCGTGCATTACCAGCAAGAGCCCTATACCGCGCCGGTGAGCCGTCCGCTCTGTGTTTGCCCACGTGTTTTAGAGTTCTCACTGTTTCATTGTATCATGGTGGTGGTGGACTGAAAATCTATTTATTGGACGCCATTCAGCCCCAATGATCCATTCTTTCAGCTTTCGAATCTGTGGCATATTAGAAACCGTTCTATGGTTTCATCCAGTACATATACATACGTGCGTAATATATGACACTGTTTTCCCCTCCACCCCTCCGTTACTCCTAAGTTTACTGTCCTCTCCGGAAACAAATTTACCCCCACCAAGCCAAACAAATTTCCGAACCCAAAAGCTTTCCGAGGACCACATCAAAGCCAACGAATATGGGTATGTCAACTCTCATCGTCCAGATCTCCACTGGTCTTGGGCTGTACATCATCTACCTCACCTTTCTCGCCCTCAGACGCCGTTTCAAGAACGCCCGTTTCTCCCGCGAACATGGATGTCTTCCTCCATCAAAGGCTCCTACAGATTGGACCTTCAACATCTCCCGTCCTTTCATTCTCTCCAAGGTACGGAAGGCACATAAATTCATGCCTACCCAGCAAGAGTCGTTCTACAGGAATGGGAACACATTTGCATTCTCCATTGCTGGGAAACGTTTGATCATGACCTGTGAGCCGGAGAACATGAAGGCTATCTTGGCAACACAGTTCAAGGACTTCGAACTGGGCAAGCTTCGACATGACAATTGGGGTGAAGTTCTAGGTGAGGGAATCTTCACAGTTGATGGACACCGATGGGAACACTCAAGAGCAATGTTGAAGCCACAATTCAATAAGAACCAAATCACAGACCTCGAAGATCTTGAGACTCATGTACAGAATCTCTTCTCAAGACTATCGTTCGCAGAGAACGGTGGGAATGTTCTGAATCTACATGAGTATTTTCTGAATTTCACACTCGACTTTTCAACCGCGTTCTTATTCGGCAAGTCGGTTGATTCACAACTCTGTCAAGGCCAGACTTCGAAATTCGCACAAGATCTCGATTATGCCCAGAAGGTCATCTCTTTCAGAGTCAGTCTTGAGAATTTCTGGTGGCTTTACCGCCCAAAGAAGTTCACGAAGGCTGTGGCAGATGTACAAGCTTTCATCGGTGAGTCTGTGCAGCAGGCTCTCGACAAACAGAAATCGGAAAAGGGCAAGACTAGTGAGAAATATGTCTTCCTTGAGGCATTAGCTCGCGAAACGCAGGATCCCGTTGTACTAAGGGACCAGATGATGAACATTCTTGTGGCGGGAAGAGACACTACTGTAAGTATTTTTTCTGATCCCAAATCCCTATAGTTGCAGGATTACCATGATTAGATGCAGTCCGCTAATAATCGGATTATATATCATGCAGGCCGGATTTCTTTCCTGGATTGTCTATTCTTTAGCTCGGAATCCAAGGGTCTGGGATATTCTTCGCCGAGAGATCCTGACCGACTTCGGCCGTGACACACCGACATATCAGCAACTGAAGGACACAAAGTACCTTAAATGGGTTCTCAATGAAGGTACATAAATTCTGGCCTTTTAACAATTAATTTTAGAAGCGCTGCACACAGATACTGACACAATCCAGTCCTTCGACTCTATCCCCTAGTCCCTACCAACTTCCGGTATGCAAACAAAAACACTACCCTTCCTCTTGGTGGCGGCCCTGACGGGCTTTCTCCAATCTTCATCGAAAAAGGAGAGCGCTGCGTCTATAGCGTCTATTCCGCTCACCGCCGTAAGGATATTTATGGTGAGGACGCGGACATCTTCCGACCCGAGAGATGGGGTGAAGGAAAGCCTAGGGGTTGGGAGTTTTTGCCATTCAACGGCGGGCCTAGAATATGCTTGGGACGTAAGTGTTCCTCTATTCTTCTTTGATAAATCATTGCCTCTAGCTTCCTCGCCTTACCTTTGCCTTGCCTTGCGTGGTGGTGGTGTCTTACATAACCCCTGCACCTCATGCATGATCGATCATACCCCTCGCTCGGTTCGGTCAATCTTACTTGCTTCTCTTCGCTTCTTTCGTGTAACAGAAGGGTGTTAACTAACCTGTGGCACGATAGAACAACTCGCATTAACGGTTGCTTCATATGTTATTGTGCGGATGGTGCAGAACTTTGAGAGGATAGAAAATGCGGATACGAATAAGGAAGAGCTCGGCGATTTGACGCTGACATTCATGCCCTATCCGGGTACTCTTGTAAGGTTATTTAAAGATCCTGAGGCTTAATTGTTTTTCACTGGCTGGTCTATTTTCCTTTGTTTTTGAATTGGGTTAGAGGCCAGG